AGTGTAAAGGTACCTTTTCATGCTGACGCTCGACGCTCAATTTCGGCGTTAGAAGACATCACGTGACTAAAAATAACGAATCATTGCAGCGATTTTTGATCACATGATGTCTTTTGACGCTGAAATTGAGCGTCGAGCGTCAGCATGAAAAGGTCAGTGTAAGAGTTTACATTTCGTTCTCTATCAGCCGAAGATAAAAAGCATAATAATTTTGCAGTGATGAATAAATGATTATAATTGAAATAAAATATATAAGAGGTTAAATATTTTTTGAAGAACTTTTATAATAATTTTAATAATTCGTGCAAAATGTTTAGCAATAGAATTGTTCTTAATTGTATAACGAGATACCATATGTGGCGAATGATAAAAAACTTATGTAAAATAAATGTAAGTTTTTAAACATTATACAGAATGATTTCTATGTACTGTATTCCCATTGCAACTTAAAGAAATGTTCTATATTATATACTTATAAAAAATTATACATATACATTTTGTTTCAGATTCAAACTCCAATCTCTGTTTATGTACACAATTTAGTTGATAAGCCAGCATCAAAAGAAATAGTTTTGCCAGTTAATAGATATGTTTTAAGAACACACACATGTGGTGAACTAACACTTAAAAATCTTGGAGAGAAAGTAAAATTAAGTGGCTGGATAGAATTTCAGAGAATGGGAAAATTTATAATCTTAAGAGATTCCTATGGATCAACACAATTACTCATATCAGAAGATGTATGTATATTTAGAGTAAATATTTTTGACAATTAATCCCTATAAAACATTGAAAAGTTTTTAATCTTTTCAGAGAAAGGATTTGATAGAATCAACACAAAATTTATCTCATGAAAGTGTGTTAAGCATAGTAGGGAAAGTTATATCAAGGCCTGATGGTCAACAGAATAAAGTAATGAAGACTGGTGATATAGAAGTATATGTAGAATCTTTGGAGATTTTAAATATAGCATCACGGAATCTTCCAATATTTATTAGAGAATTTAACAAGGCAAAGGAGAGTCAGCAAATGAAGTACAGATACCTTTCATTGAGATATCCTGAATTGCAAAGAAACTTAAGAATGCGTTCTTCCCTTATAATGAAGATGAGAGAATTTCTAATCAATGAGTGCAGTTTTGTGGATATTGAGACACCGACACTTTTTAAAAGTACACCAGGAGTATGTTTTCTTGTTTTTAACAACAGTTCTTAATGTATTGTAAATTTTAAAGTGTAAATATGTAAAATTGATTTATTATATTTCAGGGTGCACAGGAATTTATAGTGCCCACGAGACAACCAGATAACTTTTATTCACTAGTACAGAGTCCTCAACAATTTAAGCAGCTTCTTATGATAGGCGGCTTTGATAGATACTTTCAAGTTGCTCGGTGTTACAGAGATGAAACTGCCAGACATGATAGACAGCCAGAATTTACACAGGTAATTACATTGGATGTAATAACATTGGTTTGTTACATGTAAACCATGTTTTATTATCAGCCCTGTTGTAGTTAGATATTGAAATGTCATTTGTTGATCGGGACGGAGTAATGAATTTAATTGAAAATTTGTTGATGTACTCGTGGCCGGAAGAATTCGGTTCTATAAATGTGCCTTTTAAACTAATGGATTACGAAGATGCAATGGAATTGTATGGAACAGATCAACCAGACTTGAGAATACCTTATCGAGTAAGAATATCTATATCGATTCTTAATATCTACACGAGAATTATAATATCTATTAATATCTATGTCTTCTTTTATTTCCTTGACAAGTATAACATTCCAAACTTTTCAGATACAAAATCTTACACACATCGTTGATCCGCCAATTTTAACTGAGACCACAAAACTCGAGGATGATAAACAAAAGGTGTATGCTTTAGTTTTTCCAAATAAATCAGTAAGTGTTAAATCTGTTTTAACTGAACTTTTGCATACTTGTATTCTATTATTAATATAATTTTGTGTATTGCAGAAACACTTAACAAAATCAATCAGAGATAACTTTTCCAAGATCCGTAATGACTATTTTGATACTACAAAGCTAATTCAATTCAAAATTGAGAGCAATTCATGGAGAGCACAATTGAATAAAGTATTTCCACAAAATGTAGTAGAAAATATATCACAGTATTGCAAATTGCAGGAAGGAGATGCGGTATTATTAACAATTGGACGTCGATTTGACGCGGTAAATATAAAGTTTTTGGATTCTTAGTAATAATAAATTATTTTTTTCGTCCATTAACTATTACATATTTTAGTTGCAACTCTTAGGAAAGTTACGTGTCGAATTTACAAATATATTAGAAGCTAAAGGTGAACAAATACGTTCGTCTAAAAATGAATTTTTATGGATCACGGACTTTCCATTATTCACGCATAAGGAAAAATTGGAATCGACGCATCATCCGTTTACACAACCTCATCCAGATGACATGGAATATCTTACGACTGATCCTCTAAAGGTAAGATTAAGAATTTAAGTAAAATAAAATTAATTTCATATAATTTTCTCAAATATCTTTTTTTTACAGGTGAGAGGCTTGCATTATGATTTAGTTATGAATGGGTCAGAAATTGCGGGAGGTTCCATTCGAATCCATGATGCCAATCTACAAAGACAAATATTGAAGATGTTGGACATAGATGAAACAAAATTATCACACATGCTCGAGGCTTTAACGTACGGAGCTCCACCTCACGGTGGGATAGCCATAGGTATCATATTTTCGCCCAATCAGTTTTTATATATCTGCGAATTGAAATAAAATATAAATTATTATATTTCTCAAGGATTAGATCGTCTCGTTTGCTTGCTTTGCAATGCGAAAAACATAAGAAGCGTTATAGCTTTTCCGAAGACGATGGAAGGACGAGACCTAATGTCCGGAGCACCAGACGTCATCTCAGATGAGCTGAAGACATTGTATCACATACAAACAGTGAAGAAATGAAGTATTATTAAGTTTTTTTTCATGATACACAGTAAAATGTAATCAAGCCGATTGCATTTATATATACATGAGGATCTCATTCTTCGTTTAACGTCCGAGATTGTGCGTGTATAAAAGAAATGTAAAACTACGATTAATTGACACTTTGTATCGTCATTATTTATATTTTTATCAGTGTAATTATTACACAAACTGAAGAGATATCGGAAGCACACAGCTGTGATCTGTAAGCCAGAGTAAATAAAATAAAATGTAAAATGGATGTACAAAAAAAGTTTTATTCTTTCAATAAACTCTCGTGCATTCAATCAAAATAGTTCTACAGAAAAATAAAAAATACAATTTACCTGCGCGCTAAGCTATCGAGGTGATTTTATTTTCAAGAAGGATCTAAAAAAGGTAAAACACTCTTTTCTGTACACTTTTTAAGAATCCTCCTTTTATCAATTGAAATTTTCAACCTAACAAATCTCCTAACAAATATGTTGATATGTCGTGACTATCAACTGTTGGCGGACGAAAATTTACATCGCTGTTTTTCACATATATATATGTGTGTATATATACTTACGTATAAGTACATATGTGTGTGTGAGTGTGTGTATGTGTGTGTGTAGAAACAGCCCAGAGTGTATTTGGAACGGTGATATATTGATTAACAAAATGTCGTTAATGAAATATCTATACAGTTTACGATGCGTCAAATTTATTGGTTAAAATTGTTAAAAGAACCCATGAATCAAGATAAACGAATCTATTCGATCAAATCTTTTGCAATTCTTAATGTAAAAAATTATGAAACTGTAAATCTGTAATCAACTGTACATACGTGCGTTACAATTATGGTTTGTTAATTGAAATAATAGGCTGGATCGAGTTGACAAATAACTCTCGTAAATTCTGCAAATCCTTGTACAATCGAAATTCCGTTTCAGTGCCGCAACAAAAGAAGTGCTATGTTCTTTAATCTTTTTTTTGCGTATGCTTTAGACAGAGATACACATACACCGTTTCATTAATTATACTGTGCGGATTATTTTGGAATCGCTCCAATTACAGCGCGACACGTCTTGTGTCGTCGTATGTTCTTAGTATTCTAAAATGCATGCAGCTTGTACCAATCGGTACCGATCGCGCGACGAAACTCCTCAAGAGTCAAGATCAATAACGAGCGTGGGCCTTCGATGTTTCGTCTACTTCGGCTATTGAAAAGAATTCGTACGAAGACTTAACGTAGGAACTTAAAAGAATCACAAAATCCGTCATTTCCTTTTTTTCTCTCCCTCTCTTTCTCTCTATTACAAGGTACTATACTTTTTGAATGCGGCAAAAGATGAGTTGCATTAACGAATTGTCACTCTTTCTGGTGGCTTTGCTAGATTTAATCTTGCTCGCTTGCATGATACATACAGGGTGTCCCGCATCACACGGTAACAGCACGTTCCTGAAATCATTTTGAAAATTTGTAATGTCAACATGTCGAGGCTACAATAGCTTTTAAATAAGAAACGTTTAGAGTTGACCAAGCACGGTATACAATAATGAGGATGTCTTCAGATATCGTATTTTTTTTTTTTTTTTTCTTTATCGTACCTGAGTGCGCGCGAATTCGGAGCAACTGGATTGATCAACTTTAAGTGCTTCTCATTTAAGAACTATTGTAGTCTCAACATTTTGGCACTTCAAAATGATCTGAAAAGTGTGCCATCGCGGTTAGCGCGGGACACCCTGTATACTTTTTTTAAATGAAACTCGCTCTCTAAATCCCTATGTTAAATGGCCGTATGAATCGACGATTGTAATCGGAGGGGCGTAATCACGTTGGAATTTTACTAAACTTACAACTCTGGCGCATAATACTCGCCAGATTTCGAAGCAAGCTATCGTTTATGGAACACGATATACTATTTTACACAACGACAACGTATGTATCACGCGAGTCACATCCTGCATCCATTCAACTCGATCACCTTGTGATTCATCGCGAACTTACTCGGCGAACATAACTGTGTAAGAACTATTGAAAGCTTTTCGGCTTTCAGTGTATATACATGAGGTGCTTCACGTCTCTTTAGTTGACACGACCTTCTTTTGCAACTTGTACGAAACGAGAGAACGCTTACGCCCCTGGCCGACTCTTCCTTTTTTTTTTCTCCCGTGCAGCAAAAGAACGCGTTCGGGCGAGACGCGATCATTAGTGAATTCGATCGCCATCGAAGCAACTTTCGTCTACTTTCGTTTCTCTTTTCTTGCAAGTTCTAATTACCGTGACTTGTCAGGATATATACAGGATATATAATTTGCCATACGTGTCCGTTTCTCTTATCCCGAAGAAGGGAACACAGTGTTTTGTGTTTCTGCTAGATTAACGATTACACTTCGTCGTAGGTTGTCGATTGATCACTACCTGGTCCATTCGCTGATCGAGTAAAACTTGAAATCCACGGTTTAATTTCTACACTTAGTGTAGTAGCAATAGTAATAGTCGTCGTGGCAATATTACAGTCGATCGCTCGATTTTAAGGGCTTTCAAAAGTTTGAAATCGAACGGAATTGAAGGCGCGGGCCCGTTGGCTGGACACTCGCTCGGTTGGCTGGCAGTATGACGTGCGTCAAATTGTGTTTAATCTAAATACGTGGATCGTTCGAGATGATTGATCTTCAACCCTTTCGCCGCGCAGCGGCCGCACACAAGACATACAAGTGGATAAAAGATATAACGATGCGATATATTTTTTATTCTGACGCCGTAATATTCATTTAAGTAATTCGTCGAAGGACCAATTCGTGTCACGTGAATAGCCGATAATTAGAAATTATAATTTCAATGCGAACGCTTTGCACACTCGTACATTAGTTATTAACTCGCGAGTGTTCGCGTTACAAAAAACATGCCTTGCTTTAAATTACATAATAAATATTTGTACTTTTTAGTATACACATCTTTTTTTTTTTTGATATACATTAAATACATAATATATTCTATATATATATAGAAAATTATAAATAGAGGCAGGTAAAGTTACTCATAAGACGAATCTTTTTATAAACATCACGTGAGAAATCAATCCTGAATTTATTAAACACTCGTAGCGTGAACACTCAGGGCTTAAAACTCGGTTGGTCGAAACTATGCAGCTAAAGGGTCGAAGTCCTTTGTACGCTCCTCTTTCTAATAGTTTCCTCTTCACAAAAGTGTCATGCGAGAGTTCAACTCGCGCGAATTCGCAAATATACGCCCTATCAAAGTAATTGTTTTTACGCACACTGTGTCGCCGTTATAAAAAATACTATTTTACAGCGCAGGAGGCAGGCTCTCGTCCATACAAATCGTTCATACAGATAGACATCGTAAGGGACACGCACGAATATACGTATACAAACATATATAATCATCCGCGTAGAATGCTACCGTAATCGCTCGCTCGCTCGCTCGCTCGCTCGCTCGTTCGCAGATACACACATACATACATTATCAAATAAAATATCATAAATCGTACGCTCTTGCACAAAATACGTTCAACGGAGACGTCTAGAAACTCTACAGAAAATAATGGATACTACCATATGTACATACACGAAAGAATTGAGACAGGAGCGGGCGATCGAATAGATCGAGCAATGGATCGCGACATCACCAACGAAGGGGAAATGCGGAAAGTTAGAAATTTCCGTTAAAAAAAATGGAGGCACCGAATATCCAACTGTCTATCCAACAAAATAGCTCAACGTAACAGATTTGTTTCGAACAATTTGTAACACTTTTGCTTGGCCGTGTAGCGGTTTCTTTTTCTTTCTTAATGTGACTGAACAAACAAAACTCGCCTATTCGTCCGCTCTGCATTCTCATTCGCTTTGCGGAAGCAGGATACCACGTCGCGTACAAACGTCAAGTAGTACTGGATTAAGATCGTGAGATATAATTAAATAAAAATTTAAAAGAAAAACCGCGCTTCCTACCAAATATCGAATATGTTTCCTATCCGGCCCGCCGGTTCCACGCATGTAGATTAAAAACGATACCGATTCTACGACAGACGTATGGTGAACGCGAGAGTTTGTTTGCCGACAATTACATTATGTCCACGGCGGATACGCATCGCGAGTGACGCAACGCTTTATCGCGCGGAGGTCCGTAAAAAACGTCCGACCTTTTTTTTTCCTTTATCGCCGATCGAGGAGTCGCGCCAATGAGATATAAACAGATTTATATTACGCGTTATAAATAAGCTCGATCGCTCTTATTTTTTTTTTTTTCTTGCACCGACGCATATCTGGTACACCTTCGATAGCGACGACACGACGAGGATAATCAAGATCACCGTCCACCGATCAACATCTACAGGTAGAAACATACTAAAATGCATCTGATTTGTTTTTCATAGCGATTATTCTATTCTTCTCGTCGCTTTTGATTATCGTACGCCAGGACAGATGTACAAATATGCTTTCTCGGCTCGTCTTCGCTGCGTGCCTGTGTGTGCATTTCCGACAGTCTACGTACAATGGTTTAAGCATGGCCGCATACAGGAAGAAGAGAGAGTGTGGACGCCGAATATCCTTCGAAAACATTCCGCATTTACATGAGCTCTAAAAGATGATGACATTTTATGCGCTACATTTAAGACTAGATACATACGTCTGAAACATTTAGCGTTGATATACGTAGGTGGTTCTAAATAACGTATCAGATAGTATTACACTTTGTTGCAGGACGTATGATTCCAAGTCTTTAGACTCTGCAACAAAGTGTAATACTATCCGATACGTTATTTAAAACTACCTACATATATCAACGCTAAATGTTTCCATCCTGATCTCTCATTACGCAATGGTTTTCTAGTTAACTTGAAGAATTCATTCAATATACGACCATGTAAATTAATTATAATGAAACAAGTCTTCGCCGCTAATTGGTTACTTCTCGAAGTATCGATTGAACGAAACTATTCGGAGTTTGCTCGCATACGTATCTTCTACGTACGTAGATTTCTTAATTAAATTTATCCTGACTTCTGAGACGATACGCAAAGCTGATTTAAAGAAAATCGTGAAATGTTAGACGTATAATGATGATGCAACGTACGATTGTATCAAATTATAAGCCGAAAACGGATTATCGATTATATAAACTAATTTCGTCAAAATACAATGTATTTAATCGTACAAGACAAAAAAGATTAAATGTGCATCTTGTTTTTCTTGAAAAGTTTTCTGATTCTTCAGCATAGAATTTTCAAGATAAAACTTTTTAAAGTCAATGTTACTTTTAACAGAGCATCGCTCTCATCGCAGATGTAATCTTCACACAATTAGCATGGCAAAAATTCATTCTAAAATGATTTTGCATTCAAATCATCTTGCCCGAATGTGTTCGAGAAGATCTTGGAATGAATTTTTGCCATGCTAATTGTGTGAAGACTACATCTGCGATGAGAGCAATGCTCTATTAAAAGTAACATTGACTTTAAAAAGTTTTATCTTGAAAATTGTGCTAAGACTACATTGTGCCACGCATTGTTAAATTACACACAGGTACACAGGAAGAAGCTACGTATATGAGACATATTGGAATACGTTTAGTGAAAACGTTGTAAGACGTGAAATCAGCAATCTTCCCGTATTGCGTTAGTCTTGGAGAGAAGTAGTGTTATGCCGAAACGATGACACACAGTTGAAAAAGGTGCTCTTCTTGAAGCGCGAACGAGCAATGATCCAGTTGTTCGAAATTTCTTCGCAAATCCCTCTGATACGTTCCGGAATCGGTGTGCCAGTACGACAGCTGTTCCATTTTTGTACACAATGTAAATGCAATGTAAATATATTTGCTCGACCAAGTTGTACACCTCCTCTGCTTCCTCCGATCAGCTGTTACTCACAGCCGTCTTTCTCGCACCCTTCGTGCGAATTATGGACAACGCTCTCACCGCGCATAAAATTAGTCTTATGCGCTTTCGTCGATGGTGGGCAGCCAGAAGGCCATGTTGGTGCACGCCGACGCCAGCATCATGTACTTGGGATTGAACTGGATACACTGCACTGGTGCTGGATGGTCACCGTTCAGCACGCAAACTTTGTAACCGGTCTCCGCGTTCCATACGTGCACCCTACCATCTGTGGATCCACTGAACACGAATTGGGAATCTGGACTAAAACTGGCCTCTATGGCGATCCCTTTATTGTTCAGGTATCCGGCGAAAGTCTGTAAGGGTGTACCATGAAAGGCGTCAATTAAACGAATCGTACTACCGTTAGTAGAGATGAGGATGGTCTTGCCATCCCTACTGAACTTCAATCCCGTCCAATCGCACTCCTTCTCCTGGGAAAGCTTAAAGGTGACAAACGGCCCCTTGTCGAAGCTACGCAGATCGTACAGCTTGATGCTCTCGGAATTGACCCCGGCTGCAAAGATCAAACCTTCCGGATCGTAAGCCGCCACTGGTCGTCCTGAGACATTCATGACTCCGTGACAGTTTGGCGAGCGCAAGTCCCATAGTCTTAAGGATTTGTCTAAGGAACCAGAGAGGAAGGTGTCCTCGATAGGACTAATACATAACGATACTACCTTTTTCGTGTGACCGGGGAAATATCGTATATACTTGTTGTCGTGTAGACTGAGGTAACGGATCGTGTCGTCGACCTTGGTGCTGCTGTGTATCGCCGTGTTCTTCGCATGAGTGAAATGAATCAGGTCGACACCGTACTTCTTGGAATTCACCGTTCGCACCTGCGTGCCCTTCTCGCAGTCGTATATGACGATCTGGTCGTCCTCCGAGCAGGAGATCAGGGTGTCCCCGTTGGGCGAGAAGTCGATGCTGTTTATTCGATCAGAGTTCTCGCGGAATACCTTGGCCACCTTGAAGCTCCTCACCACGTGGTCGACGAGCTTCATGGTGATGGACGGCGCGTCCTCCCTCTCGTGCCGTCCCCTTAACCTCCTCGACTCCGCAATTTCTATGTTGGTGCTGTCACCGGAGGGGATACGAAGGCCGGCCGCGACGGCCAGGCGCAAATGCGAGAGCGGGCGCGGGCGCGGGCGCGAGACGCGACCACCAAGAAGCTGTGTCTTGCGGGAGAAAAAAAACCCGCGTTTGCGGAATCCGAGAGATCGCAACAATTGCGAGCCAAGTGCGTGGTCGTCCTTCAGGACGTGAATTCCTCCTCACGTTGATTGTCGCCAGCGGAGAACTGCTTATCGCCGCGCGTAATCGTCGCTTTATCGAGGGCCTCGCAAAAGGTATCCTCGCGACGACTCCTTCCTGTCTCGAAAACGGACGCCGTCAGTGAAACTACCGTACACCGCGCACCATACGTACAACAAATTCTGCCAACTGTTCAGCACTGTTTAGATCGGACGGCAAATTGCGGCGAGCATTTCCTTCGTGTCCTTTGTACCCAGCGTCGGATGTTTGCGTGAACTTTGGATGTAAAACGCCCACTACGTCCATGAGACGAAAATATACAACTATTCGGCCATATTCGCAAGTTTTCTCGCCGAGTAACATGCTACGGTTACAATTCACGGTTCGATTTGTCTGGATTTCGTCGACCTGCGAAACAATAGCACAAAAAGGTTAGTCACATATTCTTCGAGAGGGCGTTGCTTGCACATGGTAATTTTTTTTTGTATACGCCTAACTTTGTCTTTCAATCAGCAGTGCGTCGTTCATATCTGTATTTATTTCAGTTTATATGTGTCGCAATTGTTTTTCTTTAGGATTCTCGCGTGAAAAGATATCGCATATCCGGCGTCCTATTTATTTGATTTATTCACGGCATCTGTGACGTATGCAGTTGGTGAAGGTAAAATACGCATGAGTTTTGTAATGAGTTTTTCTGCAACAGATTGAGAGATGAGCGGTGTCAGAAAGAAAATCAATCATTTAGCGGTGTTCAAGCAGCGTACGAAAAATGACGATAACGCTGAATTGTCGAAAAGCGTGATTATATCTGCGAGAAAGTCGGGGAAATTGAATCTCTCGTCAAGAGGATTGTCCACGGGTATTTGCAAAATAACAGTCCGCACACATTTTAGTGGCATCTCCGACATCGATAGACTATTCATTGTTATGTATTTATTCATGTGTCGCACATTTGTTTCAGGCATGTTTTATATTTTTTTTGTTTAGACCATAAGAGGGCTTGTGCACTCGCAACTGGAGCCGCATGCTTGTGATGATTATATGTCTTGTATATTCACATGTTTATTATACATAATTTCATCAACTTGTGGACAATATGCAGATCTTCTATTTTCTGGAATGTTCTTTAATTATTGCTTACTGTTGCAATGCTGTTCAATAGCTGATGGATTGCGAACGAAAATGCAAACAGATATAAGATATGCATAATGTTTTTCTGTCGTCATTGTATCATAAGATTACTTAGGACATATTAAAATATAAAAAATTTGTATTAGTGCATTAGCATTAGTTTTAAATGACTCATTAATTGGTATAATAAATTGGCATTTATTTCATGTGTTGAACATTTATTTAACAATAATTTAGTTGATATTGTAAGTCCCGTGAATGTGGAAAGATTAAATAAATCTGGTTTTAATTTATGTGCAATTTGTATTTCTTTATTTTTTTTCCAAATTATATGTAATTGTAAGTTACAAGTGTGTCAAAATTCGAAATTATTTGGTGATTAATCTTTATTACCTTGTTTGATGTTATGTCACTAATTTAATCCGTCATACAAATTACATGTCATAAGAATAGTTCATATCTATAAGTGAAACATATTTGGTGTTATGTAAATCCATTTTAAGTTGCTTTGCACATTTTGCTAAAAGTCGTGTAATAGAACTGATCATGCTGCCAGATATATCTGATATAACTTAGAAATAAATTTCTTTGCAATATCAGGTAAGTCAATTTAAATACTTTTATCCAATTTAATATATACATATCAGCATGCAGGAAGGTATAATATATGAAAAATCCCGAGGATGTAGAAAATAACATACATTACAGTACCTGACAGAATATGGAGTATAAACGAATTAACCAAAGAAGAATTACATGATTTACATTTTGAACTTGATTACGAGCACAAAGAAGAGCGATGGTGGGAACAAGAGCCGTTAAAAGTCTTGGATCTAAGCTCCAATAATCTAACTGCAATCAGTGATAAAGTTCAATTTCTAACGGAATTAAGTACTTTAGATGTAGGTGTAAACTGATGTAAACAATGTGACTTGAAATGTGCATATAGTGTTTTTGACACTTTTATTTCTCACAAATTCTAGTTGCACAACAATTTGTTGGAAGAACTACCATCTGAGATTGGCTCTTTGAATAAACTAAGAATATTGAACTTATCGGACAACAAACTCAAAAGTTTAACTCTTCAGCTTTACATGTTGGAGGAATTAGGCGAATTACATCTAAAAAATAATGATTTAAGTATACTTGAACCTGAGATTGGAAATCTAATTATGTTGATTCATATGGTAAAATATTAATTTATGAATAATATATAGGGTGTCTCATTTTAAATGACGACCTCAAATATCTCTTGAACGATGCATTTTAAAGAAAAATGTTTCATATAAAAGTTGGAAAACCGCGGACCCAAAATCTAATAAGATCATTTATTGACCCTCTTTGAACCCTCCAACTTTTATATGAAACATTTTTCTTTAAAATGCATCGTTCAAGAGATATTTGAGGTCGTCATTTAAAATGGGACAGCTTGTATGTGCCAGTGATTATGAAAGTGGACAAAGTCAAAAATTTTTTAAAATTGATTTTATTACTTATTTTGTGTTATATCGATCTGTAAAGTCGAAATATCTCAAAGTAAAAAATCATCAAAATTTAGTCCATTTTTATAATTTCTAGCACATATGGATTGCATTACATTTTAACCAAATAATTTGTATTTATCTGTTTTTCTAGGATTTATCATATAATAATTTAAGTGAACTGCCTATTGGAATAGGATATTTGGTACGATTAGTCACATTGGATTTAAGTCACAACATGATAAAAGAATTGCCACCAGATATGACAAGTATGAGATGTAAGTTTCGTATACACTAAAATGATTAATAGGTAGTCCACATTTTTCGTTTCGCTGTTATTTAGTAATAACTGTTATATTCTATTATGAATAGCATTAAAAACATTAGATGTCAGCTTTAACCAGTTGGAGATACTGCCACCATTCGGTGAATTGCGAAAAATAGAAAAAATTATGCTCCAGTCTAACAATTTGAAGAATTTTCCAGACGTATCAGGTTGTTCAGCTCTAAGAGTATTGCATTTGGATAACAATAACATTCTTGTATGTGTTAACATACATTTATACTTGAGAAAATCAATATTAAAATTTAATTTTCCACGCACATAATGCTGATTTTATTAAAATTATTCTTTTTCTTGTAGGAGATTGAGCCAGAATGCTTAGAAGGAGCAACACTTTTAAAAAAACTCACATTGGCATATAACAAAATTGAAATGATACCCGAAGAGATAATGAAACTAATCAATTTGGAAGTTTTTGATTTGTCGCATAACAATATATCTCTGTATGACACAGCTTCTCTTTATACGATTATTTCACTTGACCACAAAATTTATAAAGTGTATTGATTGTAATCAATTACTTTTACAGAATACCTTTTTGCATCGGAATATTGCCGAATTTAAAACAGTTCGTAATAAAGGGAAATAATATAAAAAACGTGAGGGGCGATATAATACGATGTGGCACGCCACGCATTCTGACGCACATACGACAGATTACGGATAGTACAAATGTAAATACTAGGGAATTGCTACAATCGAGTGCCAGCATTAGCACCTATCCTGACAAGTATGTAAATATTAATTTATCAATTGATACAATCAGTTATATAGAATACATCTGTTGCATTAAAAAACAAAAAAGAATATTTTGCAAAGTACAGGAGTCGATTAATTTTATATTTATTTATTTAAAACCAAGTCTAATGTATATAATTTGTAAAAATACAGATATATGATGAAAAGTACAAAACTGCTGAGCTTAGCTGGGCAAAATCTTTTAGAATTACCAGACGAAGTTTTAGAGAATGCAGTGGAAGCATCCGTCGAAACTATTGATTTGAGTAGAAACAAATTATCAGAGTTGCCTGAAAAAATGTCAGCTATCGTTACAGTGACGGACGTAAAATTAATTTCAAATCATCTAACACTATTGCCAGAGTGGATTGGCGAAAAGTATAAACATTTGCAGGCTTTAGATATAAGTAAAAATTATTTGCAATCTCTACCATCAAGCATCAGTTGTCTGCAATATTTGCGATATATTGATCTTTCATTCAACAGGTACGAGAAAATACAATATTGATTTACAAAGTTTTCATGCTTTCTTAAAAAATTTGCATTAAAAAATTAATTTATCAATGTATGTAAACTGTTTTATCATATATCTCTCATTATGAAATTTTCTATAGATTTGTTGAACTACCTGAAGCCATTTACAACGTTGTATCTTTGGAAAGCTTAATTGCCAATGATAATCTAATTGAGAAGATAGATGTATCTTCTTTAGAAAAATTAAGAAAGTTAGCAATTTTAGATCTGACAAATAATAACATTGCTCACGTTCCACCTGAACTTGGTAATTTAAAGAATCTAAGGTAATACAAATATCTGATGTATTGAATACATATGTCATACATCAGTTACATAACATTTTTATAGTAAAAATATTATACTATATATTTTTTTCAGAAATCTATCATTATTAGGAAACTGTTTCAAATATCCTAGACAAGCAATTCTAATGAAAGATACAGAGGAAGTACTAAGCTACCTGCGTAATTTAATACCTCGATGATAAATTGAAAAGGAAAATAAAATATGAAAAAAAGTTGATTTATATTTATTCCACAAAATATCGATTTTCAATTATATACAAGTACTTGTGTGTTTGTAAAAAAATTGCACGTGTATATACATTTAAAGTTTATTTAACAGATTATAAAAGTATAATCTCACCTTTTCTGTTCTTTTTATAAAATTTCCTCAAATCAGTGCAATCACAAGCAAAATCAGCTGCAAAAAACCATGTGATTTTGGCGCGTTCTTAAACTCATAAAAAAAAGAAATAAAAAAGAACCAAGTGTTACAACCTTTTTACGACTAAGTACAAAAATAACTAGATGTACTGCTGGAAAATAATGACTTTTTTGAGATTGGCAATGCCGAGTGCAATGCCCTCTGCTGTCCAGCGTGGAAATTATTGCCGGAGTTCGCGCATGTGTACGCGCAAGAGCTCAGCACTGGTCAGCGCGTAAAACAGCCTGGTGTCCATACTTGTCTACCTCTACATCGTGAGCACGCTTGAAAAATTTTAGCACGCGTTTCGGATTCTGCATGATTTGTTTGCAGCGTGAGATTATCACGCCGTTCCTCGTACGAGAACCAGCGGGCGCGTTTTTATCAAGCTGATCAAATTGCTGAGCTAATCTGTCGAAACGTGAGGCAAAAGAATCGGAAAAAAAGCTGAACGTGTCCGGTTTAGTTGTACACCGTAACAGGTCAAGATGCAGGAATCTCAGCCGAAAAAGGGCAAAAAGGGTAAGTCGAATGCCTGACGTGACTGTCGTGGAATGCCGAATTTGTCTGGCGAAAAACATCGTCGAATTGACGTGTGTCGAATTAACATATGTACGCTGCTTCGACGTTGCAAATGTCGTCTGCTAACCTCTTGACTTAACCTAATCGCGATCAACATGTTCGTATTACGTAGAAGTTAGACGTCGTCGACGAGCCAGTAATCTTTTCGGCATCGCACGTAACGATTAAGATATTTGATATGCTCGTATCTCTGCCATACCATACATGCCCGATTTTTGACAGCAGAAAAATTGTAACAAATTTCGCAATAGTGGTTGTACGTTGACTCATTCTAATATATATTGTCCGATATTAGATAACATTGTGGTCTTAAATAACACATGAAAATATTAAAGAATTTTTACAAGTTTATTGAAATTTCTTCAATGTGAGTTAATTTATCGATTACATATATTGAAAGTGAAAGTTGTCCATTTTTTATAAAGTGAAAGTTTGTAACATGTGAATATTGTATTAGCCTAGTTTTGTAAAATATATTTGATTACTGTAATAGCTATGTTTTGTCATAATAGTAAACTTCTCAATCAATCCATTATTTATTCTGATATCTTGAAATTTTTTAATTTTTTTGTGTCAGAATCTTTAGACAGTATCGTTAAAAATGAGAAGTTCTACTAAATGTTTATTGTTTGTGTATTATTTTGTGTATTATATTATTTGACAAATTTATTAATAGATTATAAGTATTATTTGATTGGTTACTCTAATATGGTTGATTTTTATGGGACACTTTGTATCTTTAAATATTTACTAATTTTATTTCTTCAATCAGCAATATTTTAATGTTATTTTGAATAATTATTTATTTTATTTTCTTTTATTTTGTTATATGCAAGTTTTATTAAATTAAAGGTTCTTTTTTCTGTCAACAGAAATAAGTTAAATAATTTTTTAAGGTTGTCATTTATTATCACATTTGATACCTTATTATCACCTTATTATCATTTTATTATCACATTTCGATACCTTAAATCCAAAACCTTTTAAGTGAAAAATTCAAATTTTATAGGAGACATTAAAAACACTCCGATTAATTTGTCAAATTTAAAATGATTTTAAGTTGTTAATGAATAAGTTTTTGGAATTATTTAAAAAAAAATCATATATAAATAAGTAAAAATATTATTATAATAACAGAGAAAATAAAATTGATCAAATATTTGAGATATGAGATTATGAATTTTTGAAGGTATCGATTTGCATATGTTACATAATAAGTTTGACTATGTAATTTGTCTACTAACTCTCTATGTAAAAGTCATGTTTGTGTAATAGGTAGGAGAAAGCGCAATGATAGCGAGGACGAGGACATTGAACAAGTATTGGCAGAATTGGCATTGGAATATTCCGGAGAAAAATCAGTTAAAGAGAACAAAATTGAAAATAAATCTGAATCACAAAATAACGAAAATATTGATGACGAAGATAAAAAGAAAAAAGGAAAGAAGGATAAGAAGAAGGAAAAGGTTGAAAAGAATGACATTAAAGATGAAACTATAGACAATAATAAAGTAGTACCAGAATCAAATGATAATGATATGGATGTTGAAGTTGAAGTTGAAGTTGAAGTTAGTACTGTAAAAACAGCGGCACAAAAGAAAAAAGAGAAGAAGGAGAGAGAAAAACAGAAGAAATTAGCTCAGAAGAAAGCGGTAAGAAAACATTATAATTTATTCACTATATAATTTGTTTTTATTAATAATACTTTCTATTAAAATCAATTATTTATCTATTATCACAACAGGAAGCTGCTAAGGAAACTAATAAAAAAGGAGAGATTGACGAAGCAACCGAAACTGCAGTTCCTGATGAGAAAAAAAATGATAAAGTTACATCTGAAAAGAAACAGGGTAGTGTAGAAATTGACGGTGATGCTGTCGAAGCTGAGGATGGTTCGAAGAAGAAAAAGAAAAAAGGTGCTAAGGAAGAAACAAAGGAGAAAGGTAATCTTATTTACTAATTTATACATTGCTTGATTAATTTTTTCTCTAACATAAAAGGATTTTATAATAAAGGTAAAGGTCCTGGGAAGAAAACTCTTGCTGCTATGCAGGAGACTTTAAGGAAATTAAAGGAAGAGGAGGAGAGATTAAAACGTGAAGAAGAGGAAAGAATGAAACAAGAAGAAATACGAGAGCAGGCAAGATTGGAACAATTGCGACTTGAGCAAGAGCGCAAGGAAAAAAAGAAGCTAAAGGAGAAACAACGAAAAGAGAGATTGAAAGCGGAAGGAAAATTCCTAACTACGAAACAGAAACAGGATAGAGCCAGAGCGCAAGCGATGCTTGAAGCGCTCAAAGCTCAGGGTCTTGAGTTGCCGGATGTAGGAGAGAAAAAACCTAGACCAGGTGTGTCTTAAAATCTGCGATAAAAAGTGAACGAAATTTATTGTACACAATTATACACAAATCATTACATTAATTGTTTGAATTATTTTAGGGACACGAATTAAGCCGAACAAAATGAAGCAGCAAGTTAGTGTAGAGAAAAAAGAGGAAGAAAAGATTGAGGACAATGAAACACCTGCGGCTCAAGTACAAGTAGAAATTGTGGATAAACCAGAGGAGGAAAAGGAGAAGAAAGAGGAAGATGACGTCAAGGATTCGTGGGACGCCGACTCTACCGAAGATGAACAGGAAGAAGAGGGTATTGTTTTACAGGATATATATAGCTCATGGAATTGTACGATTCATTCTAGATTACATTGTATGATGATAAATTAAAATGGAATTTGAAACAATTTCAGATAAATCAGACGACGTTCCCAAAATATCTGAAAAAGCGAAAGAACCTGTTCAAGTATCGAGTATGACTGAATTGGAAAAGAAGGAGTCTTCCGAAAGTGAAACGGAAAGCGAGAGCGAGAGTGAACCTGAGTTCGAGGACGAGAGCGACGAAGGTAGCGAGGAGGTGGAGGATAAAATACCAGACGCTGCACGTAAGAAGGAACGTGCGAGAGAACGGATTCAGAATCGTCGCATAGAAGCTGAGAAGAAGAAGTCTTTGGACAACTTGAGAGCAGCTGTAGTTTGCGTCTTGGGTCACGTAGATACCGGCAAGACCAAGATTCTGGACAAACTCAGGAGAACGAATGTGCAAGACGGGGAAGCCGGTGGTATAACTCAACAAATCGGTGCTACGAATGTACCGATTGAAGCTATTCAGGAGTCAACGAAACATGTAAAAGGCGTAAGTTAAGATGAGAAACATTGGAAGCATTGAAGTATCGATCCCAATCAATCCCAAATGCATTACATCTTTGCTTTTTGTTTTTAGTTCGCTGACAAGAAATTTAAAATTCCCGGTCTCTTGATCATAGACACGCCTGGCCACGAGTCATTTAGTAATCTCAGGAGCAGAGGGTCTTCTCTTTGTGATATAGCAATTTTAGTTGTAGATATTATGCACGGATTGGAGCCGCAAACTATAGAAAGTATCAATTTATTAAAAGCAAAGAAATGTCCGTTTGTCGTTGCTCTCAACAAAATCGACAGGTAATTTTGTACTGAATAATCGACAAGTCCAAGATATTTTGCAACTGCACAGTTCACACAAAATTTACACGACGCATTTTGGTGTTATAAAGTTACGATAAGTTGATTGTCGTAGGTTATACGACTGGCAGACTATGAATCGTAAGGACGTTCAAGACATAGTGAAGAATCAAGCACCTAATACTCAGCGAGAATTTGAAAGGCGATCGAAGGATATTATTGTACAGTTTGCTGAACAGAGTCTGAACGCAGCAGTGTATTACGAGAATCCGGATCCTAGGAATTACGTGTCATTAGTTCCTACAAGCGCTATTACCGGTAACTATTACGGGATAACTTTGAGATAAGATACATCCGAGAGTACCTGAACCATTTTGACACCTTATCGCAATATATACAGGCGAAGGTATGGGCAACCTGTTGGCTTTAATAGTTGACGCCTGTCAGGGACCTTTGGCTAAAAGATTGATGTACAGTGAGGAGCTTCAGGCTACCGTGTTGGAAGTCAAAGCACTGCCTGGGCTCGGTACCACGATAGACTGTATTCTAGTCAATGGAATATTAAGAGAAGGCGATACAGTCATTATAGCTGGCACGGACGGGCCTATTGTAACGCAAATTCGCTCGCTTCTTATGCCGCAACCGTTAAAGGAATTAAGAGTTAAGGTAATCTTTCAAAGTTACACTTTTGCGACACGCCATTGCAGCTACATTATTGCTTACTTATTCCGTTTCCTTGAGATATAATACTTATTTTGTCATATATGCCCTTCGTTAAAAAAAAAGGAGAAGTTGAATGAGAGAAAATAAAATATGAGCGACACGAAATTGAAAATTTTAAATGTGATGTGAGTGTTAATACATAGATGAATGCATAATTATGTTAAAAATACTTATCTGTATCTCTCTATATTTTTCCTTTCAGAACGCATATATTGAGCATCGTGAAGTTAAGGCCGCTCAAGGAGTAAAAATTGCCGCAAAAGATTTGGAAAAAGCCATTGCCGGTGCGTAGCCGTTACTTTTGGAATAAAATTGCTTTCTCACAGTCTCGCAATGTACAAAATACATTCACCTGTTTTTATATTTTAAGAAGTGAACTGAAGTTAATATTTATGTACAGGATTGAATATGCAAGTTGCACAGAAACCAGATGAAGTGGAGGTCATCAAGGAAGAAATAGCGAAGGAATTGTCGAGCGCTCTTGGAAACATACGCCTGGCGGAACGAGGAGTTTACGTTCAGGCGTCAACTTTGGGAGCCCTCGAAGCGTTATTGGATTTTCTGAAAACCAGCAAAATACCGGTGAGTATCTATTTTGCACTTTAACGCGTTATCGCGGCGCTAGTATTGTAACAGAAACTAGCCAGATCTAATTACACACATCGTATCGTGTGACGTGACGTCAAACTTGGCAAAAAAAAAAAAAAAAAAAAAAAAGCTTCAAGAGACGTATAAATAAATAAAATAAATATGCATCACAAAGCGTGTGGATTAGGGATTAGGAACAGAGAGATGGACAGACAGATAGATCAGTAGCTAGATAGATAGACAGATGGAGAGAGAACAGCAGCAACGGCAGCAGCAACGAACCACTTCCTTCTTAACAGTTTAGCAGGATACGGCTCATTGGTCGCACACGGTGCTTGTACTTGTGATCCATCGTGCTATCAGCCACGCTGTCCAACCATGGGCACGCCTCACAATCTTCTACAGGGTGTCTTATACGCCACGCATCGAACAATTCGCACGCGTTCTTCAGCTTGATTCTGAAATTTTTTTTATTGCAAACATTCTAGCATCCGACTGATATATTTCTGACCAAGTAAAACGCACGGCCGGAGAGCTCTTATTCGTAATATCGCAGCGCGTTACTCATTCGTGTGTAACAATTATACACAAACGTGAATATTTTTTTTACTACAATTTTCGATAACGCGGCGATAATTTGATTTGCGTTTAAATGCTCGCAACGCTGCTTACAGAGGCTAGGCGTTAGATTAACGCGGGGCTACACAAGTAGGGGTATATATATATTATTTACGAGAAAGCCGTAGTCGTCCGATTCGCGGTAATCGCAAGCGCGCGTCTGTTTGTCCTTATCGGACGGACTTGTATATTTACATAAGAGCATCGCGAGGTATGGCAAAAATGTTGCACTATCTCGGGAACCGAGATATCATTCACAATAAGCTCCAGCTACGCTACGCTACACGATCGCGTAGTAGCAGAGAGACGATTTCGCCGGAGTCCGCGTGTTATATACGTTTCCCCGTTCCGGTGTCGAGGCCCGCGCATCGTCGCGCACAACGTTCGTTCGAGGGTGATCTTTTTCTTTTTTTTTTTTTTTTCTTTCTTTTCCTTTTTTATTCTTTATTTTTCGCGCGACACCCCGCGCGGAGAGCGGGCGCCCAGCGAAAACTTCCAGTCATCTTCGGCTCGGAGGTAACACACCGTCCGAAACGGCCTTAAGCCTGTCCTTGCTCGGGTTATGAATGGGCTCCCCCCCCACCGCGTCGCAGCGGTCACGTGGCCCCCATGACGTCAGCCTTATCGCACGCACACGCGAGACCACGCACGCACGATCGCCTACTTCCCCCCGCTTCC